CCCTACATCTGTATAAATAGTTCCATTTCTACTCTTGCCAGACTTTCAAAAATATAAACTTTGGCTTTGGAGGCCAGCTGTACTGGGCATTCAAAGCATTTGAAATATTTAAACCTAAGAGTACAGCATCAGGAAAGGAGGGAAGCTGTTGCTTATTTGATTTCGTAACGATGCCTAGCTCCCTCTCCCTGGCTTTGGGGACAGTGCTGGGGTAAGGACATCCTGAAGCACTGGTTCCTGCCACACTGCTTCCGTCCCAGCAGTTGTTCTCTTTGGAACTCCCAGCCATGGCTAGCATCACAGGTACTGCTCCTGAAACCTGCATCTCCTGGGCATGGGGAGGCTGCAGGGCAGAGTATTGGACACGAATGAGTTTTTTCAGGCACTCATCCCCAGAATCCATTTTTCTCTGTATATTATGCACCTAGAATTAAATCTGAACTCTTCTTGTTAAGGTGAAAGCTATTTAGGAGGCACAATAAATGTCAAATATGCAAGATGTTAAGGGTGAACCTCTTTGGTAGCCAGAAGGATACACATATTGAGAGCATTTCCAGGATGGATTATTTTGAGGTCTCCACTGAATCCTTAAGCTAACTGCATAGAGGCAAGCAGGCAAAGGTCACATCATGCAAGCAGACCTCTTAGGTTTAGAATGTAGCAGCTGGTGCAAAGGAACTTGTGAGTGTTGATGACAAAGGATTTAGGAAAAAAAAAAAAGTGAATGCAACTTTATTTGGATTTAAGTTATGGGGATGCCCAGACTCACTGTTCTTATGCTGTTGAATGAGGATATTAAGATGTGAAGACTTTTTTTATCCCTCTTAAATATGATCTTCTTTTTCTTTTCCTTGCACCAGAATGGCATGTCTCTGCAAGGCTGGATTGATTTCCTAGCTCTGAGCCCTCCAGATCTGCTGAACACAGTTTGATGCAGATTTGAGAGTCTCTATTAAAGGCATGATTTTCTCCTGTCTCAGGGGTTGCACCAGTGGATATGCAGTTGTGTTAGCAGAAAGATGAGTTGTACTAGAGCAAGAAGGAATAGTGTTAACTGTTGAAGATAAAATCATTAGGCTGGTAATCCTACATTTAGGCTGCCAGTGGGAATGGGGTACACTGCTGCAATCTCTTCACATCTCAGTACTTCTATTCTTCCACTAAAATGGGGGTGATGAGAGTCCTCTCTGCATGGTTAGCCTGGGTTGGGTGCTAAGGAGGCACTCAGCACAACCACTGTCTCCTGCTCAGAGCCTGCACAGCTCTGTCAACCCCCAGGTCTTGGCTTTCATCAAAACTTTGATTTGTATTTAACAGGGTAATGAAAACAATCAAAGATTCTGGATTATTAAGTGCCCCTCTTTATAATCACTCTCAGTTGTGCTCACAGTTGGAATACAGAAAATATTTTGTTATCCTGTACATTAATTAAAGGATATATAAAACTTCTCATCTATTAAAAACTCTGCTGCTTGGAGCCTCCACTGGCAGCCCATTCTAAAAAGACAGTGTGTTGGTATCTCCTCTATAAATCCAGGCTGTTGGCTGACACCTTTGACAGTGTCTCAGTAATTTCAAATGTGTAGAATTAAACTTGCTACAGATAAATCTGAACACCCACTCCATCCCAGTGTCAGTCTGTGGAAAAGTGATTATTTTTGGAGGAGATAATTTACCCTGTGCTTTGGGGGATTGGAGAGCAGCCATTTTTCTTACCCATTCTGAGAAGTGAAGAGCTTAAATATGATATGCAGCACGCTTCCCTTAGCTATTGATGTGAAATCAATCAATCTTAATATATGCAGGGTATGATCTAAGACATTGTACTTACAAACTGAAAAAAAAACAACTTAGGCAGTTCTTAATGTTTTAATGCAAAGAAATCACTCAGGGAGAAGGCCACCACACTAAACATTTACTGAGGACAAAGACTTTAAAAGAATATTCAGCTAAAATGTCTAATGCACAATAGACAGAGAACCACCAAACACTGATGGTTCTTTTATCTTCAAGCCTAAAGGAACTAGCCAAAAATAGGTAGAGTAAATGATTTAGAAACTTCAACCAGACAGGAGTTATGTGAAGAGTATGAGTCTCTGGGCACAGCATTTCAATGTTTAGAGCCCACCTTTGCCCCAGGCTGTAAACACACATTAAGTGACCAAAAAACCCAAAAGTCTTTCCATGCTTCTTTCCCAGGTTCCTAATCCACCCATCAACAGGTATAATTTACACCCAGCCCTGGGCTGTATTAGATGCTGAAGTGAACTCGAAGTATAATTTCTATGTGAAGGCAGAGGACACAGATGGGAAATACAGTTTGGCTGAAGTATTTATCACTGTGCTGGATGTCAACGACCACTCTCCAGAGTTCAATGGAAACATCCAGGAAAAGACAATGATCATCGGGTCACCGGTGAAGATAGAGGTGAGGGATGACACGAGGTGTCACCCAGTGCTTTGGGAAAGTTCCAGCCCTGCTGTTTATTGCTCAAGGAGCATGATGAATGTCTGAAATTTGGCTTTTACTGGGACTTTATTTTGCACATCTATGTGAATGTAACCAATGGATTAAAGCGTGGCATGATTCCAGGAAAAGACAATGATCATCGGGTCACCGGTGAAGATAGAGGTGAGGGATGACACGAGGTGTCACCCAGTGCTTTGGGAAAGTTCCAGCCCTGCTGTTTATTGCTCAAGGATCATGATGAATGTCTGAAATTTGGCTTTTACTGGGACTTTTTGCACATCTATGTGAATGTAATCAATGGATTAAAGCATGGCATGATAGTATTTACAGACTGCTGAGAAGAAATAAATTCTATAGGAAACAGATAAAGTTATGTTGCAACAGCTGGTGGAGGATCCTGGATTATACAGTGATATTAAGAAGCCCAAATAAGATGAGTGAATGAAAGTGTAGGGTTTTGAATACTTAACCTTCCTGACAAACCTTTGCTTATTCATTGATTCAGTGTGGAATAGGAGGTAAAAAAAAAATGCAATAACAATTCACAGGCAAAGCAGCAGAACACCCTGTGTTATGTATATTTGAATGCATACACTGAAGCCCTATTACACAACACCTAATGTTAGTAGAATAAATACCACAGCCCAAAAATTAAGGCAGCTCTAGTTTATAGTGTGGAGCTAATCCTATTGTTCTCTATGGCTTCATCTTTGTCCCCCATGCTGTGTGAGAACCCCCAGCAGCAAACAATTTGCATTCTACAGATTCTACATTCTGTCTGTAGGATGGTTCAGTTTTTCCTCTGATTTTATTTAATCTGAAATAGAAAATGCTTATACAAACAGAACTCTAGTCCTGCTGGTTCTCACTAACAAATGTAGCATAGCTGATACCAAAAAAGGGAAAATTGTTTCCAAGATGAAACAAAACCAGCCCAGTCATCTCACAGCATGAATATTATTGGAAGTGAATGCTCAGAAACTTGCAGTTTTGTCTTCAGGCAAAGATACAAACAGCACCATCTCTGTTCTTTATACTTCCCCTTCCAGGCTATAGATCAAGATGCAGAAGAACCCAACAACATTGTGGATTATTCCATCATGCAAGCAGATCCAGCTAATGTGTTTGATATAGACCAAAGCACTGGGGAAATCAAGCTGAAATCCTATATCCGTTCCCTGGACATCATCCACAACATCACAAATAACAAAGACTGCATATGGTCAGTGGTGGTGCAGGCCAAAGACAGAGGCTCCCCATCCTTCAGTACCACAGCAGTTCTGAAGATTGATATCACAGAGGAGGTAAGCTAACGTTTCAGAAAAATCCTTTGCACGAGGTGATCCTTGAGAGGCACCAAAGAGTAGTCACTGCTTGCTCCACTTCTGAAACTACTCTCTAAAAATGCTTTAGGAGTTTAAATCAATAGCCAAAAGTGTTACCAGCCATTGCTTCTCCTTTCTTACTAGTTCTGTTTTGTTGAGTGTTTCTAGAGCCTTGTGGTGTGGATTCTACAGCCACAAATGTAGAAGACATTTTGATCAGAGAAATTATAAAGGTACAAAGGCAGGAGCATCGTGTGGTTGGGACATGAGTTTCTTGCATCTGATTGGTAGGCAGTTAGATGCAGATTAAGAACTGCAGACTACTGAGAGTAAAGGTAAATCCTGACTGCTAAATTTCATAGAATCATAGAATCCTT